TTTTATTGACTTCTTTTTATCACTTGTTGCTAAATATAACAGAATCAAATGTTTTAATCCATACCTGGTCAGAACAGCATCACTTGTTAATCACTTCTCAGTCAGTGAAGCTGAGATGTTGTTATGAATGGAGCCAAATGGAAATAATCAGTATTGAGACCCTGAGAAGTTTCTTTGCTCAGATCTTAATTCTCCAGTTCTGTTCTTTTCTCTGCAGGTCCATCAGTACCTCATCGCCATGACGATAAAGGACTGCTCCATCATGGCTACGGAGAGACATTTTATTAAAAATTAAATAAATAAGTATTACACTGAAATAAAACAAAATAAGTATGTGAAAAAATTTTATGTATTGTTTCATTATTGTATATTTAAATCTTTATAATTACATCATTTATTTAAGTCATAATATAGTATTATTTTGTAAACCTACATATTGCATGCAGTGTGGCTGCTTCTTTTACCCAGTTTTTCATTTTTAAGCTTCTTTTATTTCATTTTCTTATATTTAAATAAGGGGGCGGAGTTTTATCTGTTGGCTGAATATATCTGTTTTATTATTATCAATATTGTAAAAAATAAAATTAGCTGCAAAAAGAAAATGAGGCAAATTATAAAGCATCTCAAATCAACTCAACATCGTAAACAGAATAATTCAGTGAACCTTCAAAGATAGGAGCAAATACAGTAAAATTTAATAGATATTAGGCAGTAATAAATAAAGGTAAAAAACTTTAAAATAATAAAATAGTATAAGATACTAAAAGCTAATATGACAATAAGCATCACAAACTTGTAGCAACAGAGACGTGAACAACAAAAAAATAAAAAGAAGTAACAAAACATAACTTAACTTGAAGTAGAGTGTTACATTCAATCAAAACATTCAACAGAGATGATCATTTACTGCATGTTTAGATTTAACCAGTTTCACAGACTTAAAATATAAATCAGATAATTTTTCCAATGACCAAAGGTGGGCTTTGTTTAAAGAAACCTAAATCTGTGAATGAAAAAATTTCCCATCAATATGAGAAAGTTTCCTAAATATTCCAGAGAACAGTTTTCACTTTCTAAACCAAATAATATAATAGTGTCAGATAGTGGAGACAGAACAATGTTCTTTAGGTCTAACCAGCTATGAGAGTTTGTTCAGAATTATTTGAAATTTGGTAAAAAAAAAAAAAAAGGATAAATGTTTCAAACTTTCAATGTTTCTCATACCAAATATACAATGTTCTATATCTAATTAGAATTTTTATGACAAAAAATCTTTAGTTGGATATATTTCATTCATGATTTTGAATTGCATCTCTTTCACTTTTAGAGGCAGAGGGTTACTTATATATTTAGTTCTTCTTTAGAAATCTGATCTGTTATTTATTTGTTTAAAATGTAGTGTTTTTTAATTGAATTTAGAAAATATTCCTTTAAGTGGAAACTCCTTAGCATATTATTGTTGCATCTAATATCATAGATCTAGTACCTTCCGTTTGTAGTGAACTCAGTACTGGGGAAGTGTCAGAATATAACAAATCCTTTTTAACTTTAGAACTAAAAGAGCAAGGTATAGATTTAAGAAATTTGCTGTTTTTTTTGTTGGCAGTTTAGTTTATGTTGGGCTGAAAAACCATGATCTAATCTGAATGGACTAAGTGACTAACAGACCAGATCCCTTTAATATACTGCTCTCTTTCCAATACTAAATTCACTACATATCTGTTGTTCCAAACTGTAATGTTGTTTGGAGTGAAGTTATGCTTGTTAATTAATTTCCAATAGAAGAGTACTTGCTGATGAACTGCAGAGAGTTTGACTGGCAGAGAGTTACAACTACAGTTTGAGGCAACTACCTTAACGTGAGATAAAGCACGCCGCCACTGGACTCCACAGCAGTGGAGACACATTCTCTGGAGCGATGAATCACATTTCTCCATCTGGAAGGAGTCTCCAAGGGGGCCACAAAGGAGAAGGATTCTAGGGCTCCATGTCTGACAGTGGCCCCTAATACAATTAATACAGACAGAATAATAGGACACTCAGTGACAACATGACAATCACATATGTGATTTCTATTGTACTGGTAAATATTAATTTTATTTTGAAAACATGTCTCAATGCTTAGCTCCCCTCTCCATTTACTAAAATGGTTCAGTCCACCTGCTCCTCTTAGTGCAGACAGCTTTCACAGATAGCCAGTGGAGGTGCAGACAGCTAGTTCACTTTCCTCCTCATATTAGCTCATATTCCTGAAGATAACTCTGGATTTGTACTTTTTACTGTCGTTTTAGTTCATCAATGCAGGAAAACATTGAGCAAATGGCTTTGCTGAAAAAATTAAACATGTTTCTAACAGATAAGTGCAGCAGCCATATGTCAGCATCCTCTCCTCTTCCCACCTGCACAAGTACCGTCCAGCAAGGAGGTATTGAATGAATCGATGATGATGGAGAGAAAGCATTAAAGAGTAGAAAATTAAAGTTAGTGGTTAAAATAAAACCCCAATTAGCCAAAAACTAGTGGTAAAGATCCTTTATATGTTGAAAGCCAGAGGTGTAAAGAAACAAAGTACAAATACTTTGTTACCTTACTAAAGTACAAATATTGGCTGTCTATACTTTACTGGCGTCATTATTTTTAGACAGCATTTTACTTCTACTCCTTACATTTTTAGCAATTATCTCTACTTACTACTCCTGAAATATTAAAAGTAGACTCGTTAATTTTGTGTTGTTTAGACTCCTTTTCGTAATGGCCTGTTGGTATTTAAAAAAATAGAGATCAAAATAATTTGCTTCATCCAGACAATTAATTTTTTCCCAGACTTGTTGCTGCACCAACTTGTTGTTCGCCACAAACCAAAATAAATCTTTCTCCATGATGATGTTAAGTTACATTTGACACTGTTACCATTAGTTATAAAACTAAGAAACTTAAGTATAAGGAAGTTATTTTCCAGTATTGTAGAAAAATGTTCCTTCAATTGGTCACGCAGTAACCAGTATAATATTCAAAGCTTCAGTTCTTAACATTTTTTCCTCCATTATTTTTATACTTTGAAGTAGTTTTAAAAATGCTGCTTTAAAAGTTTTACATGAATATCAGAATGATTTATACTTCTACTTGAATAATAAACATGAATACTTTTGACACATCTGTTAAAAACATCGGACATAACGACTATTATTAGAATTTATAAGAAAATGAAGCAGTAANTTAAGAGTCTGTTCAAAGTTCTGGTGAGTGAAGTTTGAAGGCTTAATGCATTTAAAATTGTCCTTTGTAATAGCAGCAGATCAAATGTAAATAAACCCTGGCGCAGATGTTAACTGCAGTCAAAACAGTGAAGTTTCATTCAGTTTATGGTGAAAAATGAATAATGAGTCAGGAATGCATCAAACTATGATGGGGCTGAAAGACCCGTTAGCTTAGCTGGCCCCAGGGGTTCTGGTTCTGGTCGGGTCCAACTGAAACAAAGAGAGGGTTAGCTCACGATGTAGCAACACATGACTCGTTCGGTTTATCGTGAGCGTTAGCATTCAGTTAAACCTTTAAAACCA